ATAACGACAATCTTCGAAAATTACAAAAATGTTCATGTTATAAAATAAACGTTACATATTCGGAATTAATTCAACCATGAATCATAAACAAAGTGTGTTTAAAAAGAAGTAAATGTGAAACATGTGCAAATGAAGTTCGAAAAGGTGTTAAAAAATTTTTCTAGATTCTAATCATGGTCTATCTAATCAATATTTGTATCTAATCAAGATATTCCAGAATCCAAGCATCATTTATCCTGATTGGATGATAAACTTTTTGAGAAAAACACCTCTCCGTTTTTGTAAAAATATTGAAGAATATAAAGGGGAAATTATGATGACGTATACGTTTTAATCTTGACTGTGTGGGACTAATCGCTAAGTAAACAGCTCATAATCAGCAATATGTGGGTAGAATATGTGGTCCATGAACGGTACATGGTACACGAAGACTAGAGTAGGTTCTATGAGATTGCATTGCATTTTCAAGAAGGTGGCGTTTCACGCGACACAGGTATATCGATTGTGTGTGTGGGGTGGCCGGCATGAGTGAAGGCCGACGAATGGGACACAATTTTCGTAACGGCTCTTTGCGAAACTTAAAATTGTTCGAATAAACTGAACGATGAGCATGAACGTGAGATGATGCCAGGCTCATCTCGCCAACTAGGAACTGTGAACGGTGGTAAAAAACGACTTCCTTTCAATTGTTTTTCAATCTTTTTATGCGACATCGTGTCGATATTTCTGTCAAGGCTGGCAGATGTTTAGTATTTCTTCCCGATTCGACGTTACTCGGGAACACGAATCGCACTGTTCAATTTATTATTATACAATTAGTTAAACATTAACGAGTATATATCCACGTGGTTAGGTGTGTACGGAAGTGATTTTCATATCTGTTTACTACGAGATTGACAGGTGTCTATGGTCGGTTGGCTTTGTATCCGGATTGTTAATGAATGAATATTATCTTATACTATCATAATACGGTAATGAAATTATAATAGAAGTACGTTGAGTTTTTTAATTTTTGAATTGTAGTAAAATGTACTTACAGATATTAGCTTTTTTTGTGTTCTGACATGAATAATTGTTTTAACATTTTGTACAATAGTAACGTATACAAAGTTTCTTCTTTATTTAATCGTTGATTTCGTTAATTTTTATTTCCTACTTATATTCGGAAAGAACAGAATGTTTTTACTTGTTGGAGCAAACTACAATTTACTTTTACAATTAGGCTCTGAGTGGGACACATTGATGGAGGTTCATCATGAACCAATTGAAAAGAACTATAAATTATTGGAAGAGATTGGCAAGTAAGGTTGCATGAATGTAATTCTTTTTATATTTTGTACAGTGCTTGACTCTTTATTATTTTCAGGGGTCAATTTGCGATAGTAAGAAAATGTATGGAACTAAGTACCGGGGAGCTGTACGCAGCCAAAATTATGAGAAAAAGACGTGTTGCCAGAGGTGTAGCAGCAGCAGATATTGGTAGCTATTTCTATTCTTATACCTTAACATTTTACTTTGTGTCTGTTATACATAACTGATCATTTCATATTTTAGCCAGAGAAGCTGGTTTATTGGCACGATTAAGGCATCCAAATATTGTTTCACTGCACAAAGTTGTAGACACGGGTACAACTGTTGTTTTACTTTTAGAATTAATTTCTGGAGGAGAGCTTTTTCATTGGGTACCATCTGGTGAATTAGAAGCTGCACATGTGGTTTGTAGATGTCTAAAAATTTTATATTATTATGAATTTTTAAACTACTTATAAATTTGAATAAACCTGATATTATTTTATTTTTCTATAGGTTCGTCAAGTTTTAATGGCACTTAGTCACTTACATTCTCATCAAGTTGCTCACTTAGATATCAAGCCTGAAAATATTCTTTTATCAACACCACCACCAATGCCAAACATAAAATTAATAGGTAAGTTACTACTGTAGTTTTTCACATTAACAGTTTATAATAAAAATGTTTATGATTTATTTGTTTATATAGATTTAGGTCTATCACATCGATTAGTGCCTGGATCAGAACATAGAGCTCTGTTTGGTACACCTGAATTTGTAGCTCCAGAAATTGTAAATTATGAACCACTTAGTTTGGGAACAGACCTTTGGGCAGTTGGTGTTTTAACTTATATTCTTTTAAGTGGTGCATCACCGTTTCTAGGTGAAGATAAACAGGAAACTTACACTAACGTTGCTGCTTGCCAGTATCAATTTGATAATGAGTATTTCAATAATGTGTCGGAAATTGCCAAAGATTTCATAAGATCCTTGTTGATCAAGGATCCAAAGTAAGTAAGAGAAATTCAATCAAGTTTAGCATTGAATGTTGTGAATGTATTTGAAAGTAAAATACAGCAACAAAAATTTTATTTTTCAGAGAAAGAGGAACTGCAGAATCGTGCCTTAAACATCCTTGGATTCTCACGGTCTGTTCTTGAATATAATAATTTCTTTATAACTAATGGTGCCTGTTTTTATTTTCGAATACTATTATTTATTTTATGTTTTCAAAATAATGTATTGTTTATGTGCATTTAGCATCTGTACAGTTACATTATACGTTATTAAATTGAATATTATATATCTTTTTTTTTATTAAACATATATGTTTTGACTAGATATTACAAAAAATATAGTTTTTTAGTTTTTGTTTATATGTGATTCGTTAACATTTTCATTAATAAATGTGCATAAAAACACTTTAATTAGTAAACCAAGACACGTAGAAATTACTATAAAACTAACCAGCTGTATTTTATTATTTTATAGGAATCAGAAGCTTCTCAAGGTCTTGGTGGAGCAATGATTAGTGCTGTTAAACGGGGCTGTGTTGAGGCAGTCTCTCAGTTACTACTGCAAGGAGCACCATTGAACGTAAAGGATTCTGTAAGTTTTATTGTTGCATATATTACTTTCAAATTTCATAAAACTGGGGATCACATATTTAAATTGGAAGAAAACACAAATTATTTGAGATTTGTACGGTTTCTTAATTTTGACATAGTTATACAACATCAGTTATAGAAAACAGTATCATATGGCTTTTTTGGATGTTTAAAATTTAATGGACATTTAATTTTACGAGGTGAGATTTAACGTCTTTAGACTTTAGGGATTTTTAAAAAGTAAAATTACGTCAATAAGGCAAAACCAATAGATAAGCTGAGAAACGATATTATCGTTGCCATAAATCAAAATTAAGTTCTTACTATGCGAAAATGTAATATAAAGTTGTCACATGTATCTATGGGAAAAACGCTGTGAGGGACACTTGAATCAAGCAAATCTCAAATATAACAAAACTATGTAAGGAAACCCTATATAGGAAACTATACTTCCCTAAACAGAAAGAAGATACGCTTTTACACATAGCTTGCGAAGCAGGGGACGAAGGGATGGTAACATTCTTGATAGAGAGTGGAATAGATCTGGACACACCCAATAAAAAGGGCTTAACACCACTTCATGTGGCTGCTAGATACGGTTTCATTAATCTCGTTAGACATTTGTGCCTTGCTGGTTGTGATGTTGACAAAACAAATCGTGGAATCAGAGCAGATGTGACAGCAATCAAGTACGGACATCTTGACATTGCGTCGTTATTGGATAAGCTCCGAAATGTATGTTAATAAAAATCACGTACTTAATACCTGCGTATTTATGTTTTACTTTATATTAATATCGATTTCAGCCCATTCAACGTGAAAATTATATTAAACAATTGCAACCAACACATAGACCAATAGACCGTCTACACGTAAGACTCTTAGGACATTGTGCATCAGGAAAATCATCTTTAATAAATTCGTTAAAATCTGGTATTTTTAGTTTTGGGTTTTTTAGAAGATCAAGAAGTCAAAACTATACAGCGAAGGTAGCTATCTATCATCTTTGAAATCTAATAGATTAAGTTTTAATTAATGAGGTAAAGTATCTCGTACTAAAAGCAAATTTTTATATTTAGAGGGAACCAAGTATTGAATTAGACGTAACTAGCAAGCACGGTTCACTTAGTTTTGAATATAGCGATAGTGAATATGAGGGTACACAAGGAGTAGAATGGAGTCGTGGTAATGTAGGTAAGAACAATGATACTGTTAACTTATTTTATGATACTTAGTATAAAAACTACACGTATTCGTACTTTTAACTGTTAAGGAGGAGAATGTGTTTTTTGGGAGTTATGTGGACGCGAGGAATTTTTAGCATCTTATCATTATGTACTCACATTTCAACAACCTGCAGTACATCTTATAACAGTCAGTCTAAGAGAACCTCTCACTGTACAACTTCAACAAGTTAGATTTTGGTTACGGTTCATTTCAGATCGTATTGCAGCAACTAATTTTGGTAAGATGAATAAATTATAACATTATTAAGCTACAATTGTATGTGCTAATAACATATAAATTTATATATTATATATAATATTTCGAAACAGGTTTTGGTGGTAAATATAGTGATGTAAAAGTAATCTTAGTTGGGACTTATGCACCAGAACCTCTTGCTCCAAACTCGAATAGTGGTAGTCCTCTTGCACCACTTTTACCTTTTTTAAAAGAGTTCTCACCAATTTTGGGGGATGAACCTCAAATGGTCGCTGTGGATGCAACTAATTCGTCTAGTCCCGGTCTGAAACTTCTAAGATCGTACTTGAATAATGCAAGGATGGAGTTTTTAGAGGTGAAGTGATTATATGATTTACACGCAGTTATTCTATTACTAACATACTATTGCGCGTGACTCAGACAATATTTTGTGTTGTAATCAATGATTGCAAAACATAGAAAAAAATTTTGTTACAATTCTCGTGATTCTACTTGAACGTTTTAAATAATTGAGACGAATTTTTATCATCGAACTTGTATTAAATATCGGAATAGATCAGGCGAACTAAATTATTGCATGTCGGCATACACAGCATCAGATTAAGAAAAAATCAAAATATCATTTCATAGATAATCTAAATTGGGATTCCAGAATATAAGTTGTATCTATTCGGATATGATTTACGTTTGGAAATCACAATTTAGATTAATATCATCCGATATCGTGGAATCGTCAAAGTCTTGAATCATGCTTAATTGCACGAGCCACTTCGGTCTAAGAAATCCGGCGATATATCGTTCAAATATATGTTCAGAATATAATAAATATTAAAAGATTCAGGTTCGAGCCGAATATGTTCGTGTACATAATTATACTTCCACATTTTTTTACAGGGATATAAGGCCAGTGTTTGTACAGCATGCAATAAATGTGTGCATTAACATTGTCAAAACGGTTCTCATTAGAATCGTGTCATTTCATTTTGCATAGTGCCAACTACATTTGTAAAATTCACGTCTCTTTGATTTCAAGTCCCGCAATGTTAACACTATATTGAACGATCTCCTAATCAACTCCTGATTACCATGCAACTATTTATGTTTCCAGTTATGGTTCAGTAATCCATGATCATTCATGATGCATGGTTGATTTTCATATATGTACAATGTGCCCCAGCCAAGTGTATAAAAGCTGATAAATTTGAAATGAATGAAGATACAAAAATGTTTTTGAATAAAATTAAAAATTTTAACAGAAAAGGGTTCAAATTTTTTGTTTAGAACGAATTCATTTTTACATCTTTAATTTGATAGTATAAAGTAATATTTGTCTCTACCAAAAAGTTTGACCACTTACATCATTTAATTTCCACTGAAAAATTTTTTTGTATGTTCACTGGTTTCGAAATAATTGACATTTGTACATTTAGCCGGGGCCGCAGTATACATATGTATGTATATGTATAAGTATATGTACAAGTAATCAAAATCCTTGGAAGTAATATTCTGTATCCCCCTACTAATTTCTTTAGGTACAATTAATCGTTTGCGATATTCATATCAAGCACATTCCCGAACGAAAACAAGAATAATGTTAAAAATAATCTTTTTTATATCTGCTGTCACTCTGTCACATGATCAATTTACTAACGACATATATTTTAGTTGCTGATTATTTGGTCATTAACATTTATTAACATCAGCCTTACTGCATGCAATGCATGATGTAGGAAGGACCGGAAGTTGCAGAAAGTATTCTCCGACGTGACACGCCGCGGGCTGCGGCCTCGTACGTGCCCTTGGCGAATCTTGATAAACAGGTCGAACTATTTCTCAATTCCTTTGATAAGTGATGTGTATAATGAAGTTGTTAATTTTATTTAATAATTGCTCTAATGCTTTATCCCATTAATACATACATGCACTACTGTCCAATGCAATAAAGAAAAAAAAAAATACTCTTGTATATATTTTCTGCATCAGTGTATTATTTCATATTTTGTTCTCTTGTATCCCTTGGTTAAGGACTCCAAAATCTTATTATAGAGTGCTCTTGTGTGGACTGGTCTTGCTGAATCTTGGAGAACATACGTCCAAACTTTAGAGGTACCTCCAGTAATGCTTACACAGGAGGAGTTTTTGAGGGAAGTGAGAAAAATTAATCCATTAGTTTGTTTAGAACATTGTCGACATCTTGGATTACAATTGCAGGTATTATATGTGATATAATATATATCCTTATATTTTAATTTTCTTTTACAGATTAACACTGGAATCTTTGTTTTTAGAATTTAGGGGAATGTATGCTCCTTCCTGGGAATTTGGTAGTTCTTAGTCCAGAATGGTTTTGGCAGGATGTAATAAACTGGCAATTAAGTCCAGAACAAAAAGGACGTTTGGCAGGACGTACTACGGGAGTGTATGCTTTGGAAGATTTTCAGGCTCGTTGTCCATGTCCTGCGAGTCAAGCTTTGCAAGCTTTGCAAGCAGTAAATTTGTGTGTCCTAGTAAGTCTCTTGATATTAGTTTATAATCATATATATCTATTATTTAATATATATTTAATTTTGTGATAGTGTGAAGTGGATGAAGATGAAGTAGAGTACGAAATACCTTGCTTAAACCTTGTTGAGCGTTTACCAGGATTATGGGAGCCATGGAAACAATGCTCCAATATCCTACCACATGCAGGTCTTCGTCTCGCACCGTCTGAAGCACCACTTTATCACTTAATTGCAATATTTCCACATTTACAAGTAAGTATTATTATAAATTGATGGTGAACTTATATTTCTTTTTACTGCTCCGTTGATCACAGCTGATGATATGGTATCACACAGGCACAACTAAGGAAAATTACTCAATCATGGGATCCGTCGAATTCAGATTTATATCAGTGGTGGCGAGGATCAAAATTATGTATAGGACCTTGTGAAAGTATTATAACGTTTGAAGAAGATGACCAAAGCTGTATGGAGATAAGAGTACGCGGACCACGCAGTACTAGTGCACAGTGTTTTGCGCTTTTAAGCATCATTCTTGACGCTATCGAAACAACAATTGAGTTGGTTGCTCCAGGGATGTTACTTGAAAGACATTGGCTCAGTCCTAGTCAACTTCGTGAATATGACGAAGTTAGTTACTTCATGGATTGTTCAGTTTGATACATTTTAAGTTGAATAATTTGAATTATATTTCACACGAATCTCCATGTTTATGTTCATAGATTGTACATTCTTGGGAACCGGCACCGGTTATATCAACCTTAATAGATAAAGGTCTTGAAGAGGCAGTTCTTAAAAATCCTTTAAACGGACAAGAAGAAACGATATGGGAAATAGTGGGTTGTGGTCTACCTTTAATGGAAAATTGTCTTCCTGGACCAAAGCAACCCATAAAGCATATAAAACCTGCTGTACAGAGAAGGCTGGCACAGATGCTCGACCCTCCAGACCGTCATGGAAGAGACTGGTGTTTACTTGCGGTAAGGCTGGGTTTGGGAGATCGAGTAGCACAGCTGGACAGTACAGTGGACAGTCCAACGTTAAGGTCAGTACATTATCTTAGAATTAGTAACATACTTTAGAAAATAGATAAATAATAACGTCAAAATGTACCTGTTTTTTGTTTATTTCGTCGATACAATTTTAAGGATGATTACAATTTAAAACGTTTTTATAAATATCCGACATTTAGATTAAGATGTATGTAGATTAATTCTTTGATTGAAGAAAAGATATTATACAGGGTGTCCCAAAAATATCTCGCATTACGGAAATGTGGGGTAGCTGAGATCATTCTAAGTAACTTTTTCCTTTGCGAAAATGCAATCTGCGGCTTTGTTTACGAGTTATTAATGAAATGACACCTCATGTGTACCATATGAAATTTTTATGCAAGGTGAAGATTAACAAAGTTCGTAAATGTTAATTTATTAAATTTTAATTTAAATAATTCCGCGTCCGAACACAATTCAACGAGCGATTCGCAAAGCTAATTTAATAAATAATACTCGTGTTAAAGGACGTAAGAGATTTGTTTGATAGAGAAATATGAAGAATATTATCAACAAAAAATTCACACATTTAGTTGTTAATCCACTACATGGTTGGAAATGTGTGCTGGAGGATAATGCATTGACCTCGTACAATGTATGATGAACTGCACAGCTGATCTGTATCCGATGGCGACGGACAGAAGGATGTTTCCAGGCAGGCTATTCCAACGGTCACTTTTACTACATTATCACTAAACACTGATCACATATTTATTAAATATCTGCGGACGAAATTTCCTGGGTTAATATGTATGGCCTCGAAAGGAGCCGATTTTTTAATGCGACGCGTTCATCATACATTGTACGAGGTCAATGCATTATCCTCTAGCACACATTTCCGACCATGTAGTGGATTAACAACTGAATGGGTGAGTTTCTTATTGATAATATTCTTCATATTTCTCTATCAAACAAATCTCTTACGTCCTTTAATACGATTATTATTTATTAAATTAGCTTTGTGAATCGCTCGTTGAATCGTGTTCGGACGTGGAATTATTTAAATTAACATTTACAAACTTTGTTAATCTTCACCTTGCATACAAATTTCATATGGTACACATGAGGTGTCATGCAGACCAGAAAATTAAAACTGCTGTCATTCTTATTATTTCGGGTCCAAAAAATTAATAAATATTATTCAGACATTCTGAAATAAGAGGATGAACAGCGTTTTTCTTAAAATTATCACTGTCACGTGGTAAAAAAAATATCGAAAGTTCATGCTCCGTGACTTGTTCATTGATTTGAACACGGCACAGAGTCCCTCTTCAGCTGTCAAAATCAGTGGTAGGAGCACATGGTACTCGATCGATTGACCACGTTGTGTTTCGTGCCATTGTGTCTCATTGGTCAGTGTTTTTCATTAATAACTCGTAAACAAAGCCGCAGATTGCATTTTCGCAAAGGAAAAAGTTAGAATGATCTCAGCTACCCCACATTTCCGTAATGCGAGACATTTTTGGGACACCCTGTAGATCAAACTTTCTCAATTAAAAAAAAAAAGAAAAGTCAATTTAATCTTAAAAATGTATGCGAGATGAAAATACACGCAGCAAATAATACAATAGTATTCTCTGAAATTTGTTGTTTTGTTTTCAGATTATTAAACACTGCAGGTGCCGACTGTTCCGTAGGTTCTTTGATACAACAATTGCGAGCTCTGGATAGGGAAGATGCCGTGCATCTTTTGCTATCTTTCACACCAACGTATATATTGTCAACGGCTATCGATTCCGAAACGGGATCTAATCTTTCCAGATGACAATGTTGCGTTTATCCATGGTGCATTAATACTTTCTAAACAACGGATTCCCGACGGGTATACCATGTCGTGGGTTTGATAGACTTATTATGTCACCGCTTCCGCCCAACATAAATTTTGCATTGTTCTTTAAATCTAAGTATGTACATTAACGGTACATTGTATGTGTACTTCTTTAGAGGCACGTCAAAATGCACACGCACCAATGTGTACTTTTATATCTACTTATTAACAGGCACTTTATGTGGCACAAAATTCTTTTATATATACATACACGCATACATATAATGAAAGAAGATTGTATAAGTTGCATCGATTTGCGTACTTTCTCTTACGAGCTCCTACGATCTAAGTATGTCATAATTTAATTATCTTTGTTAGAGTATTTATAACTCTATGTTTTCGTTGGATTTGAAAAGAAATGTACTTAAGAGAATGTCTATTTAAACACAGGTTTAATTCTTTATTGGTTTTCGCGTTTTTTCTTAATTGTGAACTATTTGTAAGCGTTTCTATTGTGATACTATATTGTATGATTAGCTAGATCGAATTTCTTATATGAATTTGTATTAGGTGAATAATTCTAAATAATGTGTATGCACATGCGTGGCCCACAAAATAATGCATTTACACACACTATATAAACACGATAATATTCGTATTTGATACTAATATTGTTTTGAAGGCTTTTCTTGATACGCATATATACTATATCTTGCCAAAACCTCAGTGTCAATACGCGTTGCTTTTCGACTACTATGGTATTTAGAAAACTATACTATTTGCGCGGAAAGCGAAGCGGCAACAGTTCGCACAATTCTTTGCTTTTTTCGGGGTACAACGGTCGACGAATTTCTATTTCTAAATGGTGTTTTTTACTAAATCAATATTTCTGAAGTACTTATTATGTGCCATAAACAACGTTTGCTCATCATAACTGTTGAAGTGTTACAGATGCCTCTGTAAGTCCTCTAAATTGATTCTTTTGCGTAAGCAAGGCGTTCATTAACGAGCCGAGACTCTCGAGTATGGCTAATCATTTGATCAAAACGATTCATTATAGACTAGGCGTTTGACTATTGTACTATTGTTCAAATTTTGTTGGCACAACAATATTAAACAAGAACGCACTGGTCATGTGCAATGCGCATGGGTACATAGTATATATCATAAAACATAAACAACATTTGTTGTTCATAGAATACTTTCTTTGAACATATCTATTCTGTATTAATTTGATCCACTGTATACTATTTAAATATAGCCTGATAAGTAGCTTTACATTCTTACGTTGTTCAAGTATTTAGTACAAGAATGAGAGGATCTTTATCTGTAATTAGAAACGAACACGATAGTTTATGATCACAAATTGTCACTAGAGTAATTAATTCTAGTTCTGTTATTATATACAATGTACGTAAAATATTTTTGTTGTGTTTATGTTCTACATATTTCTTGTAAAATGATCATGTAATATGTAGTGCTATAAAATTAATATAGTCTCGACACATACGGATAACTGCAGAATTGTCCTTTAAGATTTGTATTTCGAAGCTTGCGTTCTTTACGCATTGTGTTCATTTTACATTGAATACACCACCGTTTGCGACGATTAGTTTTAAATATTGAGTGTTTCCGCCAGGAATTGTATTTTATAATGCGTGCGTACAATTGTGGAAATGTTGGCTTCTAACGATCAGTGTCGTTGATCAATTATAGGCCAGCATCGCAAGTTCTAATGCGCTTAAAATATTTATGTTTTACAGCTTTTGCGTAGAACGATACAAAAATAGTCGAACAGTTATTCTTAAGATAAAGTTAAACAGAATCAGGATACGCGCGGAAAAAGACATTTTCCAAAGGGAAACATTGTAAGACTTATAATTGTTGCTATTTATAAAAAGGAAATACAAAAATTGGGAAGCAAACTTCCCGATTTTGTTGTGGTCAATGACATTTACATTTTTCTAGTTTATATAATGATGAAAACCTTGATGTCAAACGAAGTACGTCCTTCTGAAATTGACTTGTGCGTTTGTTTAAAATTCTTTAATCGTATATAAACTATGAAAACACACGCATGATTCTAATATATACACCTATATTAGAAACTACAATCAAAATCAATTTGATCATTTTATCGTTCGTGTCGTCCACGAACGTTCTAAGAAGCATTACTGTAATATAGGGTAGTCCTGTAAATTTCTACAATATACGGTAGACAACATTAAAGAAATGATGCTTTGGTATTAAACATTGTAAAATATCGAAAAGTCGTGTCAGTTTCGTTTGAATTTACTCTTAGATTATTTAGCTTACATGTAAGGGTAAAGGATGAAGGAAATGTACTGTATTTTCTTTTATAATATAGAGGGTGTTAATAAAACTTTACTTATTTGCAAGTGAAACTTTGTTACTGAGAAATAACTGATCGTACTGCTTCGAAGCGCAAGTGAATATCATTTATTCAAAAATGATTTATAAAAATTGTAACCAGAGAAGAAATAATATTGGTTATTCTACAAATATTTTGATATACCGATAACTAGATGAGAAATGCTGTAAACACATAAAATCCGTAGTCTATATGTCGAGAATTATAATTGAAAATTGCAATAGAATGGCGAAAGTTGACGCAAAACATTGAAAGTAAAATGGGCATGAAACGCTATGTCTGACCAGAAGCATTCCGATTCTACTTACGATGATATTAAAACGCCCGCGTCCACGGCGCCTCCCCTTGCTCTCTGTCGATCCATGGATCGATCGGGGCTCGCTCCTGCGGCGGGAAAGTTCGAACGATCGACGGAGAACGTGAAATATCAAATTCTCGGTGCATCGTGAAAAAAGCGGTGGATAGATTTCTCGTTTTTCCTATGGTATTTACCGTGGGGAATCGGTTACGTGGTCGACAGGAAACGGGGAACGGAATTCCTCCGATCCGAGAATAGCATAAGGGAGGCGGAGATCGCGTTTCGTCGGTAGTCAGCGAGGAATCGACCAGTGAAGAGCCGGGATAAAATCGGGACGACAGCCAACAAGGCGACAAGCAATTATAGAATTGGATTGGATCGAGGCGTTCGAGGAGGCTCGCGACGCCGGTTTCGTTTTATTTTAGCTTAGGCTTTCGAAGGCATCCGGTTGTGCATTCTCATCGCGGATCATCGCGACGATTACAGTGAGTGTTGTCCCCCTTTTAACCCGTAATTGTCTTTTTCTTCTCCTTTCTGCGACGCGTTTGTTACTAAATAAATGTTGTTCACTGGCGTGTAAACGAGTAACGCGGCGCTTCCACGGTGCCTACTTCGAATGAAAGAGGGTGAAGTGCGGTGCTCCGGTATACCAAGTCGGACACGATCCTGTTTCTCGTAAAACGACGCGATTTACACCTCTTTCGCGAAGCAGATTACATCTTTCGACCGTCCACTCTTCCGCTTTCTTCTTTTCTCGATCGTCCAGTCACAGTAAATACGGCACGACCGTGGTCAGACTGGCCGTGCTTGTCGGTAGCTGCTATCTTTCCGTCTGAGCGTAGGTAAATCTACATTAGTGAGTTTTCTTATAATTGTGATGTTACGCAAGTGTGTCGATAAAGTGGCGATGGTGAAATTGGTCTCAATCGCTGTCAAACACGAATAATAAAATAATAGCGATCTAGGTAATGCGTTGGCGCATTTCTTCATTTGGTACAGCAGCGCTAGATTTTTCGTATAATTCAACTGACGCTTATTCGTACATGTCAATGGACACTTTTCCACTAACGTTCTAGTTTCTTAATTAATTCGAATAGTCGGTTCAGGCCACTTGCTCAGGCCTTGCAGGAAGTCTCCTCGAAGTCGGAGCCGCGCTAACGGTTCGACAAGAGCGTTCCGTCTCCAGCGTTGAACGTTCCGAATTTTGAATTGTTTTTCTAAATTGATCAGGTCCGAAGGACGCGACGAACGATTTCGTGAAAAGGGAGCGGAGAAGCACCGGCCGTCATCATGGAGGCGATAAAGAAAAAGATTGCGGCGTTGAAGATGGAGATGGACGCCGCGAACGAGAAGGTCGAGACGAACGAGAACAAAGCTAAACAGGAGAACCTGCGCGCTGATCAGCTGAACGACGAGGTGAAGGATCTGGAGAAGAGACTGGCCCAGCTCGAGCGAGATTATGTTGTTGCCAAGACTAATCTAGAGCACTCCACGGCCGAATTGGAGCAATGCGAGAAATCATGGACCAGGGTGCGTAAATACAACGAACCGATTCAAGTTTCTATTTCGTCGAGTTACATTCGAGGAACATTTTCCTGTTTACAACCATATTTTCGTTATCGCCGAGTTTCTAAAATATGGTTCGCATCGATAGGCAGAGCAAGATCGTACCACCCTGACGAAAAGAGTGCAGGAAATTGAAGCGTCGCTCACGAAGAAGGAAGAACTGCGCCTTACTGCGACGACGAAGCTCGGACGGGCGACAGAACTTGCTGATGACGCGTCAAGGTTCTTATTAGTCTATCTAGTTTTCATTTCTCGCTGTTATTAAATATTGCGCATCTGTAGTCTCCACGCGTGTTTTAGTCGACGAAAAAGAAACGCTTAATTCTGTGAAAATTTATCAGTTTTTAATCGAGTACAAACATTTAAAATGTACCGTACCCCGAGTAAACGATTTAAATTATTCGAACTGTTTGCGAAAGCGAAATTCGTGTATCATAAAGGTAAAGTAAATAATTAGAGTCGAAACGATTGAATTCAACGAGTTATTAGAACGAAAACGTAATTGCACAGTGCGCTTTCATACTTGATCGATTAGACACGATTGATTTTGTTAAAGCATCCGGTATCGAAACTTTATGTTAATCCAGTAGAAGCCAATGTTGATATATTTCTAATTCGCAGAATGTGCAAAGTGTTGGAAGACAGAAGTCGACTGGACGAGGAACGCATGGAGAAGCTGATGCAGGAATTGAAGGATGCTAGACTGATCGCCGAGGATGCGGACTCGAAGTCCGACGAGATCTCGAAGAAGCTGCAGTTCGTTGAAGAGGAGCTGGAAGGGGCCGAGGAAAGAGTGAAAACCAGCGAGGCGTTTGTATAATTTCGTTACGCTATCTCCCCGGTTGTTTCCCGATCAAATTACATATACATGTGAACGCGCCAACAGGAAAATCATAGAACGGGAGGACGAGCTGTTTATTGTGCAAAACATCGTAAAATCGTTAGAAGTATCAGAGGAGAAGGTATTTACATCGTGGTTAACACGTTTCTTTCGAAGACACGAGTTTTAATTGTAACATGTACCGTTGTTTCAAAACCTGGTGACTTAGGCCAACCAAAGAGTAGAGGACTTCAAGATACAGCTGAAGGAGTTGAAGAAGAAGCTGAAGGAAGCTGAGAAACGCGCTATTCTCGCCGAGAGAACAGTGAAGAATTTGCTGAAGGAAGTAGACAGGAAGGAAGGTAAATCGGAAACGTTTGTCCGTGTTTGTGCATTCGATCGGGACCTGTATCCTCGCAAGAACGACATCTTATTAACGACGATTCTTTTTGCAGACGAGCTCAGAGAAGAAAAGGAGAAGTACAAGGCCGTTTGCGACGACATGGACGCCACGTTCGCGGAAATGACCGGATATTAAAACCCCGGAATGGATGGAGTTTCATTTATTTTGTTATTCTGTGCCTCTTTCGCTTGTTTGCTACATTTAACATGGCCGAAATACTTCGGGCTTCGGCTGTCTGCCTCCGGCTACGCCAACTTGACGCGTATCGCTAATGATTCAAAAGTTTCACGATTCGTTTGCTACACGAGTTCTGCGACTAACAGGCGAATAAACGATCGCAAATATCGTTAGTTTATTAATATGGAGATTAAGTAGCCTCCGCCGAACCGCTTTGCTTCGCTTTGATAATGCTTGACCGGTTGCTGCTTAACCGGGCCGACTTGCTTCAGAAACGATAGTCTTTCTTGTTTTCTTTTCTTGAATAGAATTGACGATAGACCATGTATTTTTCTTTCAGAGGTTTCAAAGAGGAGATCGCGATACTTGAAAGCAAGCACGACTCTGTGCCCCCTTTTTATCATTGTATAACGAATCCGAATTTTCAATAAACGGTATTTAAAAAGTTATACCTGCTTGCCTCGTCATTTGTTTGTCACTCGTCGAACAGTATCCTCCCGGGACGTTAAACAACGGAAACTAAATGTTTTCGACGATATTAATATTTACCGTTTTAACATACAGTTTCCAAGTTTTGTATCGAATGTTTCTCGAGAAATAAAGCTGCCTGAAATGTAAAACAAAAAGTCTGATAAATCTGATCTGTTAAATTATTTTTATCGCAATGTACGTAACTTTTAATACGCGATATATGTGATAGCTGTTACACCGACAACGTAATAATTGGACAATTACTTTTAATCCGAACAATAAGTTTATTTCTGGTTAAAAAGATCGTCATTGTGTACCTGTTAACCTCCGTGTGAATTGGCCGATCGGAAGAATATAAACGTCTAGAGAAGTCGAGGAATTCGTTTGCGTCTAACTAAAGGAACGGACTGTTAGGTTCTTTTGCATTTCTTTGTGTCTATAAAGCATTGTCCTCGTCGGTCACCGAGTGCAGTAACCCGCGAGCTTCGCTTTGAAAGACCGTAGGGATACAGTCTCGAGGAAATTGATTTTCCAAACGCCGGTACGTAAAAATCATAATTTTCTTATGAACAAACGCCGAACATTCGTCTCGCAAAAGTGTTCGCGTGTTTCAATATTAACGATACTTTCGGAAGTGAATTCAGCTGAATGTGTCCTATGAATCGAACGACGTTACCATTTTTTTTCGTAATATGAAAAGAAATATTCCCAAAGAATGACATTTTCCTCCGTTAATCCCAAAATACCCTTGAATCTGTCGCTTCTTAAACCGAAGTTAACAAGCACTTTATGATTTTCTACGAGATCAGAATGCCTGATCGTTTCGAGAAGAATTCCTTCTTCTCCAATTTTTTGGAGGAAAAGTAGATCGGATAAATACATTTCATATTAAATGATTATTTACGAGTCCGAAAGTCAGTATTTCAAACGTTATACAAGAAATTAGCATCGCCTAGATCGAGCTCGAGTTGTATAATTATTATTTTCACGAAGCATTAATCGAATTCGCAAATTTTCTTCATCCAGGCACAGCTTTCTTCCGAAAACTCGTGATTGATCGGCGATACGATGAACGCGATTAAGAAACGTCTGCAGACTCTAAAGATCGAGAAGGACCTGGCAATGGATAAGGCGGACATGTGCGACCAACAGGCGAAGGAAGCGAACCGGCGAGAAGAAAAGCTGAAGGACGAGGTGCGTGAACTGGCGAAGAAATTGATACAAATGGAACGTGATTTGGAACTGAGCAAGGCCCAACTGGAGAAATCGAATAGAGATCTCGAGCAGAAGGAGAGGGTTTATATCGTGGTTAGTAGATGATAATATGTAGTAGATGATAATATTTGATCCAGTTCATTATGAGAAATTCTATTTGATTACGAGGATAGACTCAATCGGAATTGGCGGTTTTGAACAGAAAGATGCAGCAATGTATACATAACTTGGAGAAATCGGAGGAACGTCGTCTGACGGCCCAAACGAAGTTGGCGCAGGCGATGGAGACTGCTGAGGATGCAAAACGGCTAGTTACCTGAACTATCTTATTATTCTTCGAATTATCCGATAACTTCAAAGTACACAAAATTATTTAATCCCGTAATTCGAAAATCTCGCGTTTCGCAAGCTAATCGCAATTTCGCTTTATATCAACTTCTCACAGAATATCTCACATTCTTTTTATTAAATGATAACAAATTAAGTAAATTATTCTTCATGTCAAAATATAGGAAACTCGGGTTAAACAGACTTTCTTATTTTTTACTTGTTGTTGCTTAAGAGAGCAACTCCAACTCTTGTCAACTGTAGAGTATACACTAAACCTTCTATCGTTGATTAATTCTTAATACTTAAAATGTTATGTAGATTTGATTTGCTCGGAATAGTGAAACTGAAAAGAGTGAGCTATTTTTTTCATGGACCTAAAGGGTTCAACAACTTTTATCGAAAGGGTTTCGTCGACGACTCAATGCGAAAATTGTTTCTTCCAGCATTTGCAAAGTGCTGGAGAACAGGAGCAAGCAGGACGAGGAGAGAATGGACCAATTGATGGCACAATTGAAAGAAGCGAGGCTGATCGCCGAGGACGCGGATACAAAATCGGACGAGATCTCGAGGAAGTTGGTCTTCGTGGAAGACGAACTGGAGGCTGCCGAAGAGAGGGTGAAGTCGAGCGAGGCGTGAGTTCGCAAACAAGTCGGTCACGGGTCGGAAAATGTTATAATGATTTTTCAAATTCCTAGGAAGATTGTGGAACGAGAGGATGAACTGTTCATTGTCGGCAACATATTGAAATCTCTCGAAGTATCTGAAGAAAAAGTAATTGTTACTTCAACGATCCTAAAGCTATGATAACGATTATGTCGTAACGTGCTTGGATTGTTTTAGGCTAATCAGAGGGTGGAAGAATTTAAGCTGCAACTGAAGGAATTGAAAGCGAAACTGAAAACCGCCGAAAAGAGGGCCATCATCGCAGAGAAGATGGTGAAAGTATTTTCGAAGGAACTGGATGCGAGAGAAGGTTCATTTTCAGATCGTTTCACATGTATATTCTTGTTACGTTTGTTCGTTACTTACAGTCGTCGTTTTCCAGATTTCCTGTTCAGAGAAAAAGAAAAATACAAATACATCTGCGACGACATGGACTCCACGTTCTCCGAACTCACCGGATACTAGCGAACCTTTCGTCACGCTTAAACACTATTTTCAACATCGGTGTGCATTTATTTTGTGTTCTTTTTTATTAAACATTAAATTTAAACTTCCACGCTATTTAAAGTTATTCTTCGTTAATTCGGAGCATCCTATTCAGAAGCAGAAGCAAGATAAATAATACGCTTTCACCAACACGAATAGTACTCATAGCGTACAATATCAAAAATAAGTTTAGTTACGTCGAACATCGTTTTCTATTTATTAACAAGATAACACGTTCGATCGATTATATAACGTTCCGATTATAAGTGGCTTCAAATCACAGTTATATACATTTGCAACGATTCGTCTCACTGCTTCCTGATAATTGCAGTACGTTTATACCGAATTTACCGAGTCTAACCGAATTTATTTGCGGTGCACGCTAATAAATTAACGTTAAACACAAGCTAAATAAATTCAAGAAAAATCGAGAAAACCGGAAAGAAACGAAGAACGCGTTCCGTTTTCTCTCGAGGAAAATTGTCGCGACTGAATCGACATTTCGAGGGGTTGAAATGAAACGCCGTCGGAGTCTGGATTGTTTTATAATACTTTACAGGATATCAATTTATTTTATCGATTCTACGATCGACACAATGCTTCGAAACGCCATACCACCGACTAGATACAGTTTCAGCTGTGGCCACGTCGCGTTTCGCAGGTCTCGCGGACCGGCGAAACATGGAAGAAAAATTCTCTGGCTTCCTGGGTGTTGCACAGCACAGCGGCCACGCTTCGTTTCGAGTTTTCGACTCGCAGGCACACACACCGTCGCATTCGCACCGTGGATTCTTCCTCTAGTTCTCTCCCTCACATCTTTTGTTTTTACAACGATGCTAATAGTAGTTACAGTAATAATTGTTCGTTTGATTTGCTCATTGTCCACGCCTCCGTTCCTTCGCAGACGCGGACAAACCGGTGACGTAACTTCGAATGCATCGATTAGGAAATAGAAAACTGACACGTATAGGCGATACTAATTGAATCGTACGGATCCAGAGTAATTTCTACGGACGACGAATGTTCGTGTGAGAAGCGATGCATAGGTCAAATTGATTTCTTCGTTCTAATCGAATGCTGCTTTGAAATCGTTTACACATCGTGGTACATTGAGATGCAAAGTTTTCAATCCGCCGATTCGTCTTCGCGGATTTCGTAACGATTGATCCCCGATCCATCGGTGACTAGATCTTCGACACCGAGATCCTCGATTACTAGATTCTTCGTACCTAGATCCTCGTGTTAGGGTCAACCGTGGCTACGCGTAGGTCCGCGCGGACCTTTGGATGTATTTCGAGTTTCGAGGCGTTGCAAGTTACGTCACTGTTTTAATTAAAACACACCGTTCGTAGCATCGTGGGGCTCGATTGTGTTTGATCCGACGATCAACGAAGAGAAAAGTGGTGACGTTCGTCGGTTTGGTGATGCATCGTTTGGCCGAGGCGACGAACACTTCCAACTGGGTTGCCACTTGTGAAACGCGTCGACGAGATCGGATCGCGATAGGACACGGAATTCGGTAACCGAATTAGCGCGTTCTCAAACTAAGGAGAAATTTGTTGATAACTTTGTCCTATATATGTATTATTCGAACTACAATTACTGTCGTTCCAAATGATCGGAGCGCGAAACAGTTTCGAAACGCAACGTTCTTCTAATTTTTGATACAATTCAGCGAACGTTCTGCTGCAACGAATTGATGTAACAATGGAATTTTAAATGACAGTGTTCCAAATTTTTGAACGGCAGAAATTAATTTGGAGCGAACACAAAGGTCTGAGAACAAATAAAAATGAAAAGTGAAATGTAAACGAACCTGGTTGAAACGTATGTTTAGAAATAAGATATTTGAGATCGAATTAAATGAAAAAAGAATTTAATCAAATCAATTCTTTCATCCGAACAGCGGAACAAATAGTAGTCCGAAGAACAGCAACAGCGTGTCGTTTCAGATAAAAGACGACAAAGACTTTCACGAAGCAATTCTCAGGAACGGAACAAGCGTTCGTCGCCTTGGAGAAATGAATTTTCATCGGGTGTAATGTCCAAAGGTTCCAAGATATTCCTGGAATCGAAAAAGCAATCGGATATCGAAAGAACTCGTTAAAACGTACGCAGTCGTCGTACGACGGATAATTGATCGGCCGATGACACAATAAAACATGTACAAAAATCGTCCGATGTTATCGTCCGATAAACGATACCCGCTTCCCGCACAGGGCCTAACAAATTAATCGAACTCTACGAGTTTGATTGACGTGCTTCTCGTATATACACTCATGTATGTATCGTAATGTATGCGCATACACGCGCTTTAAGTACATATATATATTTATATAAATTTATATATACGCATACCTACGCCCTCGTCTTCGCAGTGTCGCGCACACTTCCGGAACTTAGCTGTTATTAAAGTATACGCCGCGGTCCACGAGCTTAGGGTCGCGAGCCTGACTCAAAATACAATAATTCGAGATGCCTGTTGCGAGATACAGAGATTCTTTCGAAACTGTATCTTCCAATGCTAAGAAGGAATTATAACAAGTATAAAATTAGCCAAAGTTTAATTAAACTTTTCCAGTTGAAACGAATCATGGTTCGGTCAAATTACATCGACTGCATGGAAAAGCGTACGAGAGCGAAGTCGGTTAAAAAGTAAGCGTATTCGATGCTTTAGAGTAAAATCGAAAATGTATGGACCGCGGCGCGTTTAATGTCGCGAACATAAATTGCAGCGTGTTCGCGCAGCAAACGGTTTTCGTAAAGTACATCGAAAAAACGTGTTTAGCCTAGGGATCGCTCGAGATCGCGTAAAATTATTGTTATCGGAAATAGGAAGTGGTCGGCCGTGTTTTTGGCACACTCGAGTATGTTCGCGGAATGGCAGTGTCGTGGAACTTTTGGAACTCTTTCGCCGCGCTGAACACGATACGCGGGAACGCGCGCGGGCGGTGTCTATACCGTTTATTTTTACTTTCGAAATCAGTCTGAGGGTACGCTTGAATTCGTTGCGGGTCGATCGGACTCGTTGTCCGTTCCTCTCGGTTTCGGATCCGACAGGATCGATATGCTTTCGAACGTTGCCGAGTTTGGTATTACCTTTGCGCTGGCAGTTTCGTGTCTCGCCGGATGACGGATAACGTATCTAAAACATCTTCCTTGATTTTCGCGATGCAAACAAAAGTAGCGGAACCCGCTCGATTTTATTTAAAACGTACGAGACGATGTTTCGTTCGCGTTCGAACGAGAGACTCGAAACTTTTATTCGTCCCACTTGTGATTTCGCAGTCGTCGAGTGCAAAAAAGTAAAAAGGTATCGCGTACCAAAAGATCGTGAAGTCGTGTGTCACAACTGGAAACAAGAAATGATCCATCTCGACGAAATATTGCTCCTCAAGGATATGCGTATCGTTTTATTGCCATTCTTTGCATCCAAAAATTCGAGAAAGACTTTCAGGTAGATCGAACGAGTACAGGAGAGTAGACGCTCGACGATTATAGTCTCAGCCTGCGAGATAACAGGTCCAACGATTCGATGCTAAACTATTGTGTCAATAATGGTAAACAATTATTGACGTAACGCTATGAACACTTTCGCGAAGAATCTGTAGTACTAGCCCCACGAATATCGATCGCGTAATAGGAGCATGGCTTCTCTCCCTCTTCTTCGACAACGCGGTAAGATCGATCTGTTTCGACGTATGACAATATATTATACAAAAAAGTACGTGGTATTGATTAAAAATGGGAAAAAATGATTGCGGCCCGATGAAGAAGTTATTCCAGAACGTTTGCTAAAAGTATGACCGATAATAGAAATCCAATTAAGCTTTAAACTCAAAGTTAACAACGTAAATATCATAAAGAAACAACATACACAGAATGTAACTTTCACCGTAATAATTATTTACTATTACTACGGTACTATTCATCGAATAAGCATCGCGTATTTGTTACAACGATCGCGAACTTTATAACGTCGATGAGCAAAGAGTATCTTTTCTTGTTATAGAAGAATTTTCATTTTATACTGTATAAGTTCTATTGAAATTGTAAAGGTACAATTAACGAGAATTTATTCGTTAAATTTGTTTCATTGAACATATATTATGATAAAAATGGTTAAATATCCGAATGAACGTTTATGACGTTATTCTTATGACAACATTCTGAAACATGTGCTTAAAGACTGCAAACACGAAATGTCATGGTAGAGGCCACGTATCTGTAGAACCAGCGTAAACTTTAACGTGAAATTATCGACTGAAATCAAATGATTATTGTGTCGACACTTGCTGGATACTCGATTAACGAAGAAGAGAAGACGAACGGAGGGTCGGTAGCCAGATTCCTTCGCCACGACCGAGATTCGTGGCACGAGCTGTAGTTTCCCGAAGCGACCGGTGTCCGGCGTTTTCGATTTAAAAATAGTTGGCGAGCCTTAAGTTAAAAGTGCGCGACATTCGAAGAAGGATGCCGGTTTCGAACGGTGAACAACCGGGCGTCGGGATAGACGCCGGCGACGTTCGACTGGCGTCTCGTCTCGGCATGGAAGAAATGTACAGAGCGGGGGCGGAGCCGGTCGACGGCCGGTCTCTCCGCCACGGAAATAATGTCTTAGTCAGACGTCTTAGGATTAATAACGGACTTAAAGTAATCAACGATGTTTAGACGTACGTATAAACTTTACAATGCAACAGAGCCCAACCCCGTCGGCGACGTGTCCGCCTCGTGACGGCGGGAGCACGCGGCCAACGGTAATCGTCGCCCGACGACGCGACGCTCCTCGACGAATACTCCTTAACAGCTGCGTGTATACGGCCAAATCGTCGCACGATCGTTTCGTAATCTCGTTCCCGATTCTAATACCACGCACGCACGCACTGGACACAGGTGAGCACGGTCCGGGCTTTGGCGGAATCACGCTGCCGCGCCGATTCGATCAGCAAATCATTTTCATCGGCTCCTCGAGATCGAACGCAGAGTAAGAAAATCAGTCTTGCGAATTGAAAACGATCGCTTCGTCGTCCCGCGAGAGTGCCGCTTGGACTCGGTAACGTTCTCGCCGCCGCGTCGCAAAACCTCGATAATTTCGTGGAATCGAGGTACTCGATTTGGTCGAATTGAAAAGTTCATGCTATCGATTATTTTTTCGATTTTGATCATTATAGAGCAGCGTAGAAATTGATTTTCAAATTTAAGCAAATAATTCCGATACCCGTGAGGGTAACGCGGCGGTCGAACTGTTAACCCTTTGATATACGAGTTATGTGAAATTTAACGCAAAAGGTACCGTTTGCTTTTTGATTTACCATTTATGCAAGCTTGAGAAATAAGTTTTTTTTTGAGAATTCTAATCGGACACGATGTCGGCAGGATAACCGATACGTTGCTGGCAATATTTGCCGATCGTGTAAATACAGAGCAGCGAAGATATTCGACGAATTCGAGGATATTGGTGCGTTATCTTTCGTCGAAAACAAAAGGAATTGTTTCCTTCAAAAAATTCCGATACGATTCTTAACTTTTATCAGAAGTAACTTTCTATTCGAGATCCTGAAGTGCAACTTATTATCTCGATGGCTTTTATTTCGACAAGATCTACTTTCACAATTTTGAAATTTACTGGACCCATTTTTGGATTACTCGACGCGGAAGCGGTTCAAAGACATTTTTGATCGACGCGACAGGAATCCGACGACAAAACGAAATGGAGATTAAGCATCGCATTCCGGGGAACTTGATTTACGCGGCACAATTATGCAATCGTTATAAGATTTTTATTGTTCAACGTAGCGTAGAGTCGTGCTCGATAACGAGTACTGTCGCAAGAGTGAAACGTTGCTCAAGAACAGGCGCTTAAAAGCTTCGCCGTGTCGTAACGAGGGATCAGTCGATGACGCGGGGTCTGATTGAAAGCGAGCGTGGAACGCTGTTGCAAAAAATAACGACGGACTTGTCTAAGAATCGAAGAACGAACGGTGTAGGCCAGCGTGACCAAAATAAATGCTCCGGGCTGTGCATGTTGCGGTGACAGATTACTAGCTTCGTGACAATTAGTTACGCAATGATTCATTTCTACAACGTAGGGCACATACTTCTGTAAGAAAATAAGCTACTTTACGACAAAAACTACGAGGCCATCGGTCATCGGCGATTAGGCCGATGGAATTTCTTAGCGTAGATCGTTTTCTGTGCAACTTCAACGAATTCTCTCGAATCGGAGATCGTTGTTGGAAAAGTTTATTCTACGGTGTTGTCTTATTTTTGCAAAAAGAATCGTTTCCACTTTGACTACGATATTAGTTATAAGTGACTATACTTATAGTATACTCAGTTACTCGAGTAACTGTACACAAGTATAAACGTTTGTTCGATTATCGAGTAAATCATTTGCAACTATCGAAGTATGTAGTAATATATTTTGAATATGTACTAACAAATTCGTTCGTTATTGGACAGGTGAATCGTATCTTTGCTCATGGGATACCTTTCGTATACCCTATGTACGAAGAGATCCGCTATATATAATAATTTACAAAACGGACAATGGTTTGTAATCATATAGGTTTTATAGGTTCGAGTTTATCGCTCAAGTTAAGTTTGTATTTGCCGAAGCAATTCCTTGAAAACAGCAAACAATTTCATTTAATAGAGACGATTCAATTAATCCTCGGTTGTCAAGACTCGAATCCACGACCAATTACAAATTCTAGCTTTAAATTCTAGCTTTCTAGTAGCCAGTTCGACCGATCAGCTATTTGTATCGAGTCCAATAAGAAGCTCAACCTTGATCTCAAACAAATAAGTGCCAAAATACGTAAAGTCGATCGACGAGTATCGATTCAAATAGATCTAGCCACAAAATCGTCAAAAGTATGCGACGCGCGTTTCGCACGATTTAACTAGGGTAGTGAAACCGATCACTGTGGGGTGATCAATTGCGGTGCTTTCGGTTTGTTTTCGGGCACGATTCATCTTATGTTTGTCGAATAAGACATATTAAATTTTCGTATTCTTTTATTTTGCTTATTTTCGAATTAAAAGAATAATTATATAAAATTCTAGAATAATATCTTTACAGTAATATCCAGATTAAAAACGGGAAACCACGCACATTTCTAATAGAAAGAAATGAAAACAATACTTTTTAAAGGATTTATATAAAACATAGCATGTAATATACGTTAATCTTGTGAATTTAAATTTGTACGAATAAAACCAACACATATAAATATTAAAGACTTAAGAGAAAGGGATGGATAATTATATGATGGAATCCTAATTCGACATAACCCAATCGTAAAATTCTTATTACAAATTCTAAATGACTCAGCGTTGATAAAGCAACGATACTTATAAAATTTATTTCAAAATTTGCTATAAATACAAAAAATTAAATTCAGAAATAAACGAAATAAAAGAATAAAAGAATTCACCCCTTTGCGATCGGAGCCATTTTATGCAAATGAAATTGTGTCGACTCATGCAACGACTCATTGCATTTTTAACAGTTTGTAAAAGTTAATAATGCCCAAAAACAAAGCACAGGTACAGCAATCGGTGATCTTACGGTAACCGGCTCCGCTACGTTATCAGGAATAACGAACGGTCGTCCCTAAAATCGTTGAGGCGACGTCCGGAGGAAGACGAAGCGATCGTTTCGGAATTGGATACAGCTTGGAATCTTAACGGCTTCGTAGTCCGCCGGCTTCCGGACGCTCGAAGGACTTTCCCGTGCTCTGTTCGTACGATTAAGTCTTTGGTCTCGAATGGGTCGGCCGCCGCGCCGGCGACCGAGTCGCGGCGGTCTGAGCAAATTGTCGTTTGGCACGCACTCCTGCACGCGATTAAACTCATTCAACCAACCGATCATTCACTCACTCGTCGCGTCCACGCACGCACGCTCGTAATATTCTCGTTGCGTCACAGGCAAAGAGGGAAAAAGGGGGTGAGATCGAGCGTCCAGACTTGGGGCGATTACCACCGCCGAACGGATACTTTCGACGATACTGCACCGGTCGGTCGTCGCGCGACCGCGTCCCGTTCTTCGCCTCGTTGCCTGCGAACGGATTCACGCGGGACGATACCCCGGCAACGAGCGGAATTTCAAATTTCACCTATGTAATCGACAGAGAGAAGAAATGGGAAGAGAGGGACGCGCGAGAGGACGCGCAGCGGATCACGCGCGCCTCGAAAATTTATCTTTCGTAGAGCTCTAAAACGACGTCGAAAGTATCGCGGCGGGACACCGCGGATAGAGAAGGATTCATTTCACCTAATTTCTTATTAATTCTTTCTTTTCCTTTTTTTTTCTTTTCTCGTTTCCTTGGACCACGGGGTGCGGATAAGGGAGGGGAAACAGGAATACAAAGTTTGCCTACCGTGGGACACACACGGGACGTGCCGGTGGCACTCAGGGGTTAAAGGGCGGGCGAATTAAACGGCGATCGAGTAGTCGGAGGAGGGGTTGTTCTGGGTGCTCGGCCTTGACCACAGGGAGCTCCTCAGGCCGAGTTTCAGCTTCTTCAAGGAGTCGATGTCGCACTCGGCCTCGCTGAGCTCCGGTCGATCGGAACGATCCCCGTTCCCCGCCACTACGTTCCCCTGATTGCCTACGAACGTGGTCTCCGCGACCGAGATCGGCGGTAATACCGTGCGTAGCGAGCTCCTGCTGGGGACATGCCATCTTCCGAGACGACCAAATTCACGTGGTTAGTAAAATGGCAGGTAAGGTAAAACTGCCTATTGTGAAACACCTCTTATAAACGCCATTCGAACTCGTCTCTAGTATATCTCAGAAGGGACAAAAGATACCAAAAAACTGTGTTTGAGAAAAGATCGTTCGATCCGAAAGAGACGTAATGTGCTGAAAATACAGGATGTCCCATCGGAAATGGGGGTTTCCCGAGGTCATTCGAAGTAACTTTTTCCTTAGCGAAAATGCAATCCGCGGCTTCGTTTACGAGTTATTAACGAAGAAACACTGACCAATAAGACGCGAGCTCGGCTGGCGGCCAGGCGGCCCAGCCAACGAGCGCGCGAAGCCCAGTTCCGCTCATTGGCTCCGGCCGCCTAGCGCCAGCCGAACTCGCTTCTCATTGGCCAGTGCTTTTCGTTAATAACTCGTAAACGAAGCCGCGGATCGCATTTACGCAAAGGAAAAAGTTACTTCAAATAAGTTCAGGAATCACTACTTTTCGGGTGTTAACATGATTATGGGACACCCTGTATATTTGTTTTATAAGTAAAATCTGGGACGTTGGGAGACTTCGAGATCTAGTTGGTATTTTTAAATAGAATGTTACGCTTTCATATTTACGATATTGCAGGGCGGTTTGAGACAAAAAAAGATGTTCGAAGTTTCAATATCTTCGGCCTTATCGGAGAGATACTTCAGCGTATCGAGTTAAAGCGAACACACCGTACGCATGTAAAAGATTTCGGTAAACTTTTATGGAACTTTTCGAAAACTCCCTGCGTGATGCAATGTATATACTCTGCAGAAAAATTCAGGAAACTAATGTTTGTTTATTAATCACCTAGATCGTCCTCTTCGTGGGAGTGACTTCTGTTCTGACATGGGTGAGATGTCCGATGAAGTGCTCGACGTACCGTGATAAATGAAGTCGGAAACGGCCCGAACTGTGAGCGATTTTATGAACATTAGAATATTATCGTAGGCCGCGATTAATAATTGAGCGACAGCAAGATACAAAGAGCATGTGAGCCTAGTCTTCCGTCTTCTCATAAATCAATTGGAGCGAATACGTGATACACATGTATGTATCTCGACGTTACGTTATTTGTATCGTCAATGACAAATATGATTTTCATATAAGGATACATGATATATTCATCTTAATCGAGAGTCGTGAATTAAGGATGTGTCATGAATTAAATGGAATATTAAAAACGATCTCACTGAGAACATTTCAACGTACTGTGTTTCAGTTTGCCAGCGTCCAACTGATTGGAAGACTCCGTGCGAGAGCTCGTCAGTTGATCCGGGTCAGACTCGCTCTCGTCGCTCTCGACGTCGCCCGGGGTTTGTTGTTTTCTCTGTTGACGTCTCCTTGACGAAACGCTCTTCATGCTCTGCGAAATCATAATATCACGCTGTGTCAAATATTTAAGAAAGAAAAATATATACAGAAATAAGACCGAAAGGACAAACAGGCTTTCCAGTTGAAAATCGAAGTAGTTTTACTTTTAGTGGATGTATCCGTTACGTAAATTAATTCGTCTAAAATATGTGAGGAGTTAAGCAACAAAGAACATTATATTCTATCATTTTTACTCAAATCGATTAATTTCGGAATGAATCCTTGTACGAACAAATTATTATTCGAATAATGAATTCTACTTCTTGTTCAGATTAATTGCTATCTACATATATTTTTATTCGATCGAATATTCGTACGTTAATGTGGAACAAAATTTGATTTCTTATCTCTTACACATCGCCCGAATTAAATTTAGCTCAACTCTGGTTAACCCTTTGCCGTACCATTACCTTCAATTCTATCTCTTCNTACGAACAAATTATTATTCGAATAATGAATTCTACTTCTTGTTCAGATTAATTGCTATCTACATATATTTTTATTCGATCGAATATTCGTACGTTAATGTGGAACAAAATTTGATTTCTTATCTCTTACACATCGCCCGAATTAAATTTAGCTCAACTCTGGTTAACCCTTTGCCGTACCATTACCTTCAATTCTATCTCTTC